GGTATGGGGACGGCTCGTTTCACCCTCATACCGGACGGGGTAATGAGGTCTATGGTTTGGCGCCCATACCGGACAGGGTATGGGGACGGCCCTGGAATGGATTTCAAGTGTTAAGGATTAACGGGTAGCGGGACCCCTATGGATCCCCATGGATACTAGTGGGCTGGTGAATCAAGAAAATATGTTGTGTAACGATTGAATTACGAAAAGTTTGATAGGTATTATGTTATACAGTTCATATATATGTTTTCATGATGATGATGATGTTATTGCTTTCGTATATTGTTTTATGAATTTCACCGAGTAAGTGAATGGTAAGGTTTTATTATTAATAAAGGATTTGTTGTAAATTATGCTCCATTGGTCTTTTTGTGTTTTTTACCCACCTTTACCTCCGTGACGGTGAGATATCGTGATGTCTTTACTGGGCTAGTGTAGCTCATTCCTTATTTAATCATTTCAGATCAAGAGGACATCGTTCCCGAGCCGGTTCCGCAGGAGGACGACGAAGGGGACGCCTAAAGACTCCCTAGTCACATTCGTAGTGTTTTACTTTCAAGTTTCTCCTTTAGGTAGTTTAATCTTTTATATTTTGTTATCACGTTTTTGGTTTTAGTGTAAGGGATGTTATTCAAATTTTGACTTCGCTTCCGCATTTGATATTTATAATATAATTTTCATTTTAGATTTTCGGGGCTGTTACAACCTATATATATAATAAGGTTTAGTGGGTTTAGATTATACTCCAATTAAATTTTAAACATTAATAGTCATTAAATAAACAATACATAATAGATAATGATTTAAACAAATAAAACAAAACAAGTAAAATGTAATAATAATAATTTATTTAGGATAAAACAAAAAAGGAATGATGTAATAAAATCTGATTTTTTTTATGAAAATAAAAAAAAATGAAATCTCTATCCCCACCTCCTTTTAAAGAATCCATCCAGGCCACCTCAATCAATGCACATGGCCGCTCACCATAAAATCCTTTTCTACTACTTATACCTTTCTGCTTTCTTCATCCCCCCAGTATACATTTCTCTCTTTCTCTCTCAATCTATCTCTATCTCTCTCTTATCTAGTATTTGATAACAGTATATGTCGTAGATTTCATCAGAAAAGGGAAAAGAACGAGTTGATGCAGATCATAATTCAAGCAGAAATAAAATAGAATGGTTCAATAGCACTGTTCGAGTGCGAAAATTCATCAGAGTAGGTTCCAAATTATACAGATATGTGAAGGTTTTGATTGTTTTTTTTCGAGAATTTATTAAGACTATTTATCTTGAAGCAGAAAATAACGAAGGAGTTTAGAGAGAAGGTGAAAGAAAAAGAGAAAGAGAAGAAAGCCCGTCAAGACGCAGAGGCCAAACAATTAGCTGCAGAAGGAATAAACGTTGCGGCAGAGGCTGAGCCAGCAATCCCCATTTCTTTCAAAATACCATTTGAAGAAGATATCCACCCTTTTGATTCTACTCAAATGGTACTTCCACGATCTCTCTCTTTCACTCTCTCTCTCTCTTTATATATATATATGTTTATATATGAATGCTATTTTACATATTTGTTTTTTAGATCATAGTGTAGTCAGTGTCAATTATTTTGTAGGGGAACCAACAGGGACGCAAAAGACAAAGTAAATGTCCAGTAGCTGGAACAACTATAGTCTCATTTACACTTTCTCAAGGTCTCCTAACTATGGCTGATAATATTGATTTTGTTAGTAAAATTTTCTATCATTTAAATCTCTAAGATTTTCTTTTAGATCAAATGGGTTTTGTTAAAAACTCTTTAACGGTTAAATTTCTTACTGACAGTACACTCTCGAGCATCTTTACAAATTTCAGATACACAATCCAACAAAGAACCAAAGGCTAGACGGTTTAGAGAAGACGACGGGTTTGCAAAATTTTATTTTCACTAATACCATGACATTTATGGTAAAAGATTTAAATATTTTTACTATTTAAGAAGGTCGAATTAAAATTTAACTAAAAATATAAAAATTTAAACTTATTTTCTACATTTGTATATTTTATTTACTCTTATATACCTAACTAAAAAAATAATCGAACTACATAACTATTTTCTATTTTGAAAAAATTGTTATTACTTTTATAAATTTAAATTTCAATTGCATTAAAATTTATGATTAATATAATGGAGAATTAAATTAAGTGAGCTCAATCTCTCCATACTTATTTAATGTGATTATTGAAGGGTTTACTATAAAAATTAAAAAATTTATCGTTTTGTTTTTTACCACTACATTGAAATATAACTGCATTATCTGGACTACAACTATAGCAAGAAAGGGCTACCATCATATATAAATATTGTAACAACCAACAAATTAGAAGTTAATGGTGACTCCTGTCACCCATATGTTGAGTTAAGGAAGAAGAGCCAGGGGTTGTCCATTGTTTTCACAAACACCACCAATTTATATCTTATGTTCCTCCTCATCATTCGTCCCCTTGTTACCTTCTTCATTGATCACAACGCCTTTATTTGACTGTTGAGGCATCGTCATGAAAAACTCTTGTATCTCGCTTTTTTATCCATCTCTTGACTTGTACATTAAGTTGTACTTCCCTACATTTCCTTTTTCCTCCTAAACAATTCTAATTTTTGTACTTGTAACATTATCATATGTCAACTTAAATATTTATTAAACACTACTCACCCAATTATATTTCAAAATTTTCTCTGGTTGAGGCAACGGTATTTGCTGAAAATATTTCATCACTATACAAACAGCAAATAAAGTTTATTCATTTATATAATTTGTGATTAGTAATCTCTTATTAATTACCTCATCAAATATAATAATTCATTAACTCGTCAATTATAAGATTCGATTTTAAGTTTGGTACTTTTAATAAATAAACATATGATGTGCATGAACATGTATGGATATCTAAACACATGCATGTACATACGTATAGAGGCAAAAACAAGCAGACACATAGACATGGTCATGCCTAGATCTTTTTTATATTTAAGATTAAAAGAAAAATAAAACAGAAGAAAAGTTTAGGGCTATAAGGGGGAGTTGATCAAAAATCTATATTAGATTGAAAGACTTTATGACGAAATTCTTATTAAAAATAAAAAAAAATTATAAAGATTTAACTCTTAATATGTTTGTTTTTCGAAATCTAAAAAAAATAAAAGAAAACCTCAATGTTGAATTAACCTAAAATGACTATACAATATTTATTTTTTAGTTTCTTACATTTAAAGGTATGCAAGGCATGTTCGCATTATTGAGATATTGGGTAGATATTTATATATTTTTTTGTTCTGGCCCTTGTGCTGGGACTAAGAGATATGTTTTCTTCCTTTTATCTAGTTGTTGTGGCTCATTGACGTTCCTCTTATTGTTTGGTATGAATGGTCTAAACGGATCTGTTGTGAGATTGGGATTGTAGCCTCTTCTGCAATCTGGGCTCATTCTAGTGCTTCTTGATAGTCATTAATTTTTAGAACGGAGATTTTATCCCATATCTCTTTACGCAGACCTCTCTAAAACTTCCTGGCTCCTAGGCTTCCATCTGCTACTAAGTTGGGCGCGAACCGAGCGAGCTCTATAAACTTTTCTGCATATTCTACCACCCTCATATTTCATTGCTTTAATCCTAGGAACTCCATTTGCTTCTGTTCTCAAACAAAGTTAGGGAAATACTTCTCGTAGAATGCCGCTCCAAATACTTCCCAAAGGATCGGTGTCATCAGTGATCCCTTCTTCAGGCGCCGCCAGTGTTCTGCAGCTCCCTTGAACATGAATGTGGCTAATTGTACCTTTTCCTCTAAAGTGGCGCTGAGAACATCAAATATCTTCTCTAACTCCATGATCCATTGTTCGGCTAATATCAGGTCGGTTGCTCTAGTAAATGATGGCGGGTTCATTCTTTTAAATCTTTCAATGAGTTTTTCATTATTTTTCTCCATCGGCTATGTGTTATTGGTACTAGTATTGTTACTGTTTGTAGCACTTTGGCTATGGACTACGTATTGAGTTACCACCGTGGCGTAGCCTTCGACTATATGCATGAGTCTATCTAGACTCTACTCGATCCGGTCTTCCGGAATCCAATGTGTCTCCTCTCTCGGTATCCTTGTCATTTCCTACATTCATGAAATTTAAATTTAGAGACATTTCCTTATGTTTCCCAACTCTATCTAAGTCTTATGCGAACCTCAGCCTCGTATTCAAGGGATGTCCTAGAATAGTGCTCTGATACCACCTGTCACGGACCACACCCCGTCTAATGATCGAAGTATACTTCCTTAAATCATATAGACTCAAGTTAAGTAAAATAAATTAATTTTATTAATAATAAAGAGTCGCATAAGCGTTACATCCCTTAAATATAAAACATAAACATATGTACGAAGCTCTAAATTTCTTTACTTACATTATTAAATAAAAATACGAAACAGTAACCTTAATATCAGAGACTAGACTTCATAAATTTTTTTCGTATAGCTACTCACTCTGCAGCGGTATCTTCAATATCTGGACAATGATAGGGGGATGAGATAAAATATCTCAATATGCAATATTATGAAATCACAGCATAGTACATGGAATTAAGTTTAATGTGATTAATAAAAGGTTTGGTATAAATGTTAAGAAAGTTGTCCATTTGAGAATTCATAGCTTTTTTTATGAAAATAAATGATAAAAAAGTGGTACATAGCTAAAAAATAATTTCTAACATTGAATTTTTTGATGAAAATAATTTTTTTTGCTACATATCTAATTTTTCTAATATTTTTTTAAAGTATGATGAGCTTTTACATCTCCATGACAATTTACCATTAATTTAATCAGTCATAGAAAATAAAACAGTACCTATCATACTTCTTGACTTTATGTTTATTCATATTTATTTTCCATTGTCATTATTATGTAAACAGCCAAAACGGATACGTTGACAAGAAAACCATATAAAATATACAAAAAAAGGTTGGCTAAGGAAGACTGATAAATGGTTTATGTCGTTCATTGTTTTACATATTACATAATAAGGTTAAATATGTTACTTCACCATATATACAACAAGGTAAAAGAAGTTAATTCTAATAGTCTGCTCAAGAGTGAAAGTACTAATTTTAGTCTCTTATATTAATTTATTTACTTCATCAATGATCTTCCCTTGCCACGTCGTTCAGTTGTTACTCTTCTATTGGCACCTATAAATTAACAGGAAAGCAAAGCATATTTTAGTCAAGACTCTATACATCCATGAACTATTCTAACTAAGTGCAATGTATATACTCAAAACCAACATACAGAAGAAGTCTTTTGTTCTCCATCCACCACCTTCCTCTTCACTGAGGTACTGCTCCCCTGTTCCCCATCCTCCTTATTCTTCCTTGGCCTATCGACCTTCTTCCTTTCTCCTAATGGCACTATAGAACTGCTTCTTGCATATTCTTCTTCCTTGGTTTCGGAGTTGGTTTGTTTGGATAGATTTCATATAGTATAAAATCAGTCACTCGATGACTGATCATCGGAACAATCACTTTAATTCTAGATGAATATAATACTACAGTCCCACATGAATATAAATATTATCAAGAACTCTTTTCTATTTTAAAATGAATATAGTACTCTAAAAAACCAATTTGTTAAGTTAGAAAAACTAAAAGCAACTTACTGTATCACATATTTTAGTGTCCCGTCACTGTTTCTCAATGGTCCACCCTTCAGTTCTTTGTTGGATTGTGTATCTGCAATTTGCAGTGGGTTGAAGGAGAAGCTTGGGAGTGTACTGCCAATAAGAAAATTTACCATTAACAAAACTCATTTGACTTAAAAGATAATCATAGAGAATTAAGTGACGACAATTTTACTAACCAGATCAATATTATCAGCCAGGGCAATGAGATATTCTGAAAGACTACAGGAAACTACAGTGGTTCCAGCTACTAGACACTTACCTTGTCTTCTGCGTTTGTGTTGATTTCCCTACAAATTAATTGCCACTAATAACTCTATTATCTAAAAAATCGAATATGTAAAATTGTTTCATATATATCTAAAGAGAGAGAGAGAGAGAGATCGTGGAAGTACCATTTGAGAAGATTCAAAAGGGTGGATGTCTTGCTCACCAGGTCTCTTGAAAGAAAGAGGAATCGTTGGCTCAGCCTCTACCGCAATATGAATCCCCTCTGTATTTAATTGGTCTGCTTGTGCGGCTTGACAAGCTTCATTCTCTTTTTCTTCTTGTTTCACCTTTTCTCTAAACTCCTTCATGGTTTTCTATTTCAAGATGAAACCTTTTAAAAAAATTCTTAAAAATATAAAACAATCGAAACCTTTACATATCAGCATAATCTGAAACTTACCCCGATGAATTTTTTCACTCGATCAGTAATACTAAACCATGCCCTTCTTTTTTTGGCTGAATCCTGATCTGCAGCAACTCCTGCTATAACTTTTTCTGAAAATGGTTGGATTTCCTAACTCGTGAGATTTAGGGTCTCAGTTTCAGATGAAATCGACGACATCTTATGTATTTGGAGAGGATTGAGAAAGAGAGAGAAAGAGAAATTGAGCGAGAAAAATAGATTTAGAGACAAAAGAGATTGAGAAATGTATGTTGGGGGATGAAGAAAGCACAAAAGTGTGGGTATAAATAGTAGAAGAGGGTTTAATGGTGAAGGGTCATGTACACTTATTCTCTTTGAGTGGATAGCGTTTTCATTTTTTTTATTATTTTTCATAAAAATCATATTTTATTGCATTTGACATTTTTTGTTTTATATTAAATAAATTATTATTTTATATTTTTCCAGCCCATCTACAGCCTCTTTTTTTCTTTTTTTTTTTTTACCTTCCAATACATGCCTTCACCCACTCATAAAACCATTTCCTTATTTTATATTCTGCAATATATTTATATATATATATATAACAAGTTAGGTAAAGAAATCTATATTTATTTAATGACAATAAATGTTGTGGATTTAATTGCAATTTAATCTAATCCAAGAAAACCTTATATTATCTATATAAGTTTGTAATATTTTAATATGTTTATGTGTGCACTTAATGATAATTAAAAAACTATCCTTTTATAAAAATGTTCAACACAATTAAAATAATATTTCTTGTTTTGTTTTCTATTAACAAAAATATTTATTTAAAATTTTAAAACTAATATATCCTTGTAATGTATGAAAAATATTGTGCATTAAAGAAATATAAATCATCTCATAAGGTTCTTATTTATCGTCGGCTCCAATATCAAAGTCTGCAGCATTTAACTTTTTCTCTGATTAAAGGAGTGTTAAGTCTATACTCATCTTTGGATCATCAGTAATCTCCATCAGATGGCTGCAAGTAAATTGTAGAAATGATTAATAACAAGTAAAATTTTCTTTAATAACTATGTTCATATAGATTTTTATTTTTTATTGACGAAATTAAAAAATATATTAAATGATTAACGAATATAATAATTCATTAACTTTTCAATTATAAGATTCAATTTTAAATTTGATACTTTTAATCAATATACATATGACGTGCATGAATACGTGTGAATATATACATGCATATACATACGTACAGAGACAAAAATATGCAAACACGTACATATGGTCGTGCCACTTCTTAGTTTATATTTGAAATTAAAAAGAAAATAAAACAAAAGAAAAATCTAGGACTATGAGGGAGAGTTGATCAAAATTCTCTGTTAGATTGAAATATTTTACGACGAAATTCCTCTTATAAATGAAAAACTATAAAGACTAAACTCCTAATATACTTATTTTTCAATTAAGACTTTCCTTTGAGAGTATTAAAAAGAAATCTAACCAACCATATAGTGTTATGCACTATATTACGCATTTGGACATAATAGATAAATTTCTATACTTACGAAAATTATTTATTTACCCTAAAATGATATCAAAATAAAATAAAATAAATTAAAAATAAGTTTAAAAATGCTACATTTCCAATTAGGAAGATACCTGAGAAAATATATTCTATTGGATAGTGTGACAAATAGATAAAAAAATATAAGAAATATTTTTTAAATTCGGTTACCTACTGGCTATAGGCAAATAATAGAGCTACATGACTATTTTCTATCTTTATAAATTTATTATCACTTTTATAAAATTAAATTTTATTTATATTTGAATCTATAATTAGTTAAAATAGAGGATTACACTAAGTAAGTCAGATCTTCCCACAGTTATTTAATGTAATTATTAAAGGGTTCGCTATAAAAATTAATAAAGTTGTCCATTTGGGATTTCATAAAGTTATATTAAAAGAAATGATTTCAAGCAAATAAATATTTTGATGAAAATAAACTTTTGTTGTGAGATCTAATTTTTGTAATATTTTTTTGAAAATTAAAATAAGTCTTACATATCCATGACAATTTATACAAGGGTTTATTTTTTAACATGCTTGTTTTTCAAAAAATTTTTTTTGAGAAAGTACTTGACTATATTTGGAAAAATCTAACCAATCATATATCATTATGCAGCATCATATATAAATATCATAATAACTAACAAATTAGGAGTTAATGGTGACTCCCATCATCCATACGTTGAGTTAAGGAAGAAGAGTCTGGGGTTGTCCATTGTTTTCACAAACACCATCAATTTATATCTTATGTTCCTCCCCATCATTCCTTCTGTTGTTACATTTTTCATTGATCATGACGCCTTTATTTGAATGTTGAGGCATCATCTTGAAAAACTCCTTTGGCATCTCGCTTTTTGATCCATCTCTTGGCTTGTACATTTAGTTGTATTTCTCCACATTTCTATTTTCCTCCTGAACAATACCAATTTTAGTACTTGTAACATTATCGTATGTCAACTTAAATATTTATTAAACACTACTCAGCCAATCATATTTCAAAATTTCATATGGTTGAGGTAATGATTTTTGCTGAAAAGATTTCATCACCTATACAAACAACAAATAAATTTTATTCAAGTATATAATTTGTAATTAGAAATTTCTTATTAATTACCTCATCAAAGGAATTAATCTCCTCTTCCACCCTACCTCCCTTTTCCTCCATGATGGTCTTCTGTGCACGTACAAAATATTTAAATATTACATAATAAGTCAGCTACAAATAACTAAATATTATTTTTTAAATTCGCTTACCTACTGGCTATAGGCAAATAATAGAGCTAATGACTATTTTTATCTTTATAATTTTATTATCACTTTTATAAAATTAAATTTTATTTATGTTTGAATCTATAATTAGTTAAAATAGAGGATTATACCAAGTAAGTCGGATCTTCCCACAGTTGTTTAATGTAATTATTAAAGGGTTCGCTATAAAAGTTAATAAAGTTGTCCATTTGGGATTTCATAAAGTTATATTAAAAGAAATGACTTCAAGCAAATAAATATTTTGATGAAAATAAACTTTTGTTGTGACATCTAATTTTTGTAATATTTTTTTGAAAATTAAAATAAGTTTTACATCTCCATGACAATTTTTACATGTTATTAAACCATTCATGTCACGGTTTATATTAAAAGAAAAAAAAGGCTCGCTGCACATCTTAATTTCGCAAAATTTCTCAAATTTTTCCACAAAGACCACCCATTCATATCTTTTTTTCCTTCTCATCATTCTTTCCCTTGTTGCAATTTTCATTGATAAAAATGCCTTTATCTGAATATTGAGACATCTTCATGAAAAGCTCTTCTAAAAAATTCTTCACATTAGCCGCAGATATCTCGTTATTTAATTCACCTCTTGGTGTTGAGCTATACTTCTCTGCATTTCCTTTTGCCTCCTGCACAACAACATTTCCACTTACCTCATGAACAACAATTTTATTACATGTAGCATTATGTCAACTTAAATATTTATTACTTGTAGCACTACTCACCCCATAATTTTTTGTAATACTATCCTCTGCTTCAGCTAACGATTTCTCCTGAAAATATTCAGTCATTCATACAAACAACAAATAAAGTTCATTAACCCATATAATTTGTAATTAGTACGTGCTTAATTATCTCATCATTGGATCAATCTTTTCTCCCACCGTCTTTCTCTTTCCATTGGTGATGATCTTCTCCATCATCTATAAGTACCAAGAAATCAAGTTAGTTATTAGTTTATAATACAAACTAAATATTACCCAATAAGGCAAAGCAAGGTCATTCTAATAAAAAGATTAATTTCAATATTTTATATTAATTTATTTACCTCATCAGTGATCTCGACCCTCTCTCTTGCCACCTCGTTTAGCTTTTTCTCTTTTATTGGCACCAGCAAAAATTAATAGGAAAGCAAAGCATATTTTAGTCAACACTCTACACATTCATGAACTATTCTAACTAAGTGCACATGCCTTGCAAGCCATAATAAGCTAAAGAACAAGAACTAAATAGTCATTTTAGGTTAATTAGATACTGAGTTTTTGTTCTTTTCTTTTTTAATTTTGAAAAACAAGCATGTTAAAAGTTTAGATTTGTACCCTTTTCTATTTATAAGAGGAATTTCATCGTGAAGTATTTTAATCTAGTATGGAGTTTCAATCAACTCTTCTTTATAACCATAGACTTTTCTTCTCTTTTATTTTTCTTTTAGTATTAAATATAATATTCAAAAGTAGTCAAGATCATATGTACCTGTCTGCATGCTTTTGCCTCTTTACGTGCATATATTTATACGTTCTCATATGTTCATGCACGTCATATGTCTATTTATTGAAAATACCAAATTTAAAATATAATCTTATAATTGACAAGTTAATGAGTTATTGTATTCGTTAATCTTTTAATATTTTCTTTTAATTTAGTCAATAAAAGAAAGATAATTTATATGAATAGTTATTAAAGACTTTGTTAATTGTTAATTAACAAAGTACGAAAGTGTGTTAGCCTAAATTAATTAGCCTACGCTACAAGGTTGGTGTCTAACATTTTCTCCCCATTTAAAAAATTTTGATATAGAATTTTGATTGAGGACTAATATATGTTTTTGTATTAATCCAACCTAAAATACAACCACCATGACCCATTTACTTGACAATCCAAGCTACAGAAAAATCAAAACACGTAACTGGTTGGAGAAAACCAAGCATCGAAGGACAGGAGGAGAAGCGGAATAGAAGCCAAAGTCAAAACACACTCATACATCAAGATCTATGGAGGGAAAAAGGTATCACATAGATTAAAAACATCTACAATATACACTAATTGCATAATAAAAGGTGTAAATCCAATAAACCAGGTCATCGATCAAAAGCCAATTACCAAAAATTAAAAAAATCATGAAACAATGTCGAACTCATATCAAAAATAAAAACAAGCGAATTCGATAAATGGACTCTGTAAATATAGAAATTAGTGCCACAAGAACATTACAACTGGGAAATCTTTCCATCCCAGAAACATTATTAACCAAAATGAATGAGGACTATAAATTATAAAGAAAAACAGACTTGAAATTGGATAGATATGTATTGGCTCTACTGATATCCTTTCATCTCAAACACATAAGATGTAAAAACTTTAATCCATCACATGCATGGACAAAATCAAGCGTGCAATAACACAAGAAGTAAAAACTAATTCTGACATA